AGCCCTTGGTAAGAAAGGGTAGGAAGAGGCCAGTGACACCCATCGTGGCATAGCCAAGAGCAGTGTCACTCGCAGGTACAGGAAAGGCACCATGAATTTGCCCTTATTGGGCTGGATCTGCTGATGGGACGAGCTTCCTTTTGACTTACCTCTTGTTCCTGGAGGACCAGGTATCCCTGGGTCCCCCCGGAGGCCTCTTGGCCCAGGGTCCCCCGTTTCTCCTGGATGTCCCTTCAGCCCAGGCATGCCCTGATCACCTGAGGACGACAGGGAGGTTTTGAAGACACCCAGATGATAAATGAGTTACATTCACTGGGAAAGACATCTATGTTCTCAATATATGAGTAACTGGGAACATTGCTTTATTACTTTTCCTTTCCATACCTCTTAGCTCTAGGGAGAAAAATACACTTAACTTCAGGAGGAGAAAATATACTTCTGAATGAATGAAGTTACCCATCATAATTTAAAATTTTCCCTTTTTTTCTGAATCAGCAGGAAAAGGATCCATTCAAATCCTGTGCTGTAAGCGTCGCATCTGTTTTACATTTAAAGGAGAACAAACATCCCAGGGTCCTGAATGGCAGGTGAAACGGAAAGGGCTACCCATGGGAGGCACTTTACAGGTGTGGTCTTAGTTTATTCCCAGTCACTCAGCGACACCCAGTGAGACAGGACTAGCTTCATGGGTGAGGGGCAGGTAAGTTTAAGTGACCTGTCCAAAGTCACAGTCCGGGAAATGGCAGAGCCATATCTGAACCTAGCTCTAAGTAAAGACTGGATCTTTCTGATCCACCAAGAGATAGAGGAGTGCTCGGGAAGTTTCCAGACTTCCTTTCAAGGTACCTGGACACCCTGGTGGTCCAGAGGAGCCAGGCAGTCCTGGCCTTCCGGGTGGTCCTCTGGGCCCTTGGACACCGGGCAGGCCCTGCTCTCCGGGGAGTCCAAAGTCTCCTAAAGAAGGAAGGTCAAACATCTGAGTAGTTGCAGATTGCACTTCGAGATGGTGACTCTACAAAATCACCAAATTCAGCCCTCACTATTCTTCTCTAGCCTTACTTTCTTATATTTAAGTAGTTTCCGTTGAAAAGGAAGATGGCATTAAGGAACAATTGAAAACAAAATGCCCATAATCCCACCACCTTAACACAATCTTCCCTATGTATGCACAGACAAATAACACCTACAATTTTATATTCTGATTTTTAAAATTAATATGGTATCATAAGTAATTTTCTAAGATTGTCATAGTTTTCCTAATTATCATTTTTAAGTGACTGGCTGATAGTTTACTGAGTCAATCTTCAATTAATTAATCTAACTTTCTTCTACTACTGGCCATTCAAGTTATTTCTAACTCTTTGCTGTTATGGATAATGATCTTTATACATCTTTAATCAATTTTTTTCTCCTATTAAATTATTTCATTAGGGAAAACTCCTAGGAGTAGAATTTCTAGGTAAATAGTATACTTTGATTTTTTAATGCATTTTTAAATGGGAAGTATTTTAAAGTAAATCACAGTCAGCATGGAATTCCATTCCTAAATACTTTAGGAGGTGAGTCTGAAAAATAAGAACATTCTTCTGTGTTGCTGAAATAACATTATCACAGCCAAGAAAATTAATAGCAACCCTTAATATGATCCAAAGCGCATTCCACACTTGAATTCCCCCAAATGTCCCCTTAATGTCCTTTGCAGTTGGTTTGTCCACACTAGTTTCCATTCCAGAATCACCCACTGCATCTAATGGATATGTTTCTTAAATTTTTAAAAATCTGAAACAGTCCCTTTCTCATAACAATGACTTGTTGAAGAGAACAGTTCAGTTCTTCTCTGATCTTCTAGAACAGACCATTCACCATTTGGTCCTTGATACAGGTTGCAAAATGGTTTGCAGTAAGTGTGGCACCGACTCACACCACCATATGTGAGCCACCCACGGCTCCATGATCACCACTGCAACAGCAGACCGTGTTCTTACTGAAGACTTTTTAGTTTGTTGGCTTATTTTCTTGCTAATTCAGTAAAGATAAATGATATTTCAAACACTTTAAATTACATTTCTTTGATTACTAGAGAAGACTATTCTCCATGTATTTATTTATAATTTATTTATTTATTTACATGAATTACTTAAATTTATGTTATAGGATAAACCAATAGTCTATGCTGAAAATCACTGGTTGAATCTGCAAATAAAATACATGACTCTGTATTTGCAAAGCCATGGTAGAGACCTATAACCATTATTTATTATCATACACATGAAACCAGCCTATCTCCGCTATACCTCTTCCCCAATGGAATTTAACATCTATCAGCCTCACTATGTGTTATTTTATTTATTTATACTGAAAACCTTCCTGCAGTAAAGGTAAGACAGCATTATTCTCATCTCCAAATGGAAACATGGAAGCATTTAAAAAAAAAACCTGTCTCCCAAATGCGGGGTTGTGTTAAGAACAGGACTTCTGAGTCAATCTCTACTGTATTTTCCCTCTGAATTGACAGCAGAGTGGGCAGGACTGAACCCAGCACAACTGTATGTAATCCCAAGACAAGCTGCAGATTGGTGCCTTCCTGGGAGGCTCATTCAGATCCAATGCAGCTTTTTCCAGTCAATGAAAATACACATTTAAGTAAACTCTGTGCTGAATAACGTATAACATAATTTAAAAATTTCTATGCTGAAACCATGGCATATGGGAAAGGGAACAATTTCAATGTTGATAACCACAGGAGACTAGAGAAACTAGGCAAATTTTCTGAAAACTTAGCCTAAGTGTAAAATAACTGAGGTTTATGATTTCTAACTTAAAATACTAGGTGACATCAAAGGCCCTCACTTTGGACTCCTTTGAGCTTATAAAATCTTAGCATCTTCAGAGTTTACATACAAGTGCCAATGAGTATAGAAAAATGTCTTAACATTCTGCTGCTGCTGCTGAATGATTGTACTTTACATTTGTATAGTAATTTTCAGTTTACAAATTCCTTTCCAAGTATCTCACTTGATCCTCAGAATAACCCTATAATATGCATAGGGACAGTCTGCAGGTGAGGAGTCTGAGGTCAGAGAAGATACTCAACTTGTCCAAGATCCCAAGCACAGTGACAATGGAGGTTGACTTCGAGCCACTGTGTTTTCCATTCTGAGACTCCTCACTTTGGTATTTGCTGTGAACTCCCATAAGGCTGACCTCAAAACTATTTTTCCCATCAAATGTACTCTTCAATTATATATTCGGTTAAAATATTATTCTATCTAAATATATTTGTCCGTGTCAGAGGTAAAAGACTCACAGGAAAGTGGGTGGGAAAGGAAGTTTTTGCCACTGTACTAGCTTGTTCTGTTAGACTTCCATTTTGGCAATCTTATGGTATAAAAACAAAGAAAATAAAATTTTCCATAATAGTTCTGCTCAGACATTCTTTCTATTATATGAAATGAAACCTGGCTATTGCCAGAGGGAATTTTAAGGTAACACAGAAAATCATTAATATGAGGTATTTTAATTTACAAAAGTCCCATCTAAATACAGGTTGGTCAGGTTGGTTTCCAACCTGACCACTATCAGCTGAAAGCTCTTGGGTGTAACTAGTTGAACCAGTCACCTGTGCATGGACATTTGTTCTATCCATGCCATGGATGTCCCTGTGCCTGTATCTGGTACACTTGTCTGAGCATAGGCTCTAGATAAATTTATAGGAGTGGAATTCCTAAGTGAAAGGATACGCATATTTTAAATATTGATGCGTGTTTCACCAGGGTCCAGAAAGGGAGTACCAATTTACACTTCCAACATTTTTTGAAAGATAAACATATATGAGTGCAAACCAGTACAGCAAAAAGTCCTCAGACTGTTTTCCCCTCTAGGGTCCTGTTCTGTCAGCTTACACTCAAATGGTTTCCTGTTCCCTGTGAAGCACGGAGCACCAGCGCCTCTCTTCTGCGTGGGTCATCTAATGTAGCCCATGGTGGCCTCAGCCGTTGGCAAGAACTCAATGGTACATCACAATTCATTCCGAAGGATTCTATGTTAACTGCTCTTGATAAACGAAATATTGTTGTTTTGAACAACTTAGATTTCTTGTTGGTGATGAGGTATTATGTTTGCTTGGTTCGGTTTTTAGTAAATTAAAGTAAATTCAGTGATAGCTCAACGATGGCATGCTTCACTTACATTCGCATATGCTTTTCTCAGTAGAAAGAAAGAGTTAGAATGACAGCTTGTGGCTGTATTCAGTGTGAGTGGTTATTGCTAATGCATCATTTTAAATGATAGAGATTGCAGAATAGTCCAAATTTTAATTGCTTGCAATATTCCTTTTTGACTTTGTCTAAATCTGGGCATGCCTCAGGGAGTTTATTGTGTCAACATCATCAGTTACATGAGCCATGATGGAAAAAATTGAGACTCTCTGGTGTATAATCCTGGTGTTCTTCTAGGCTAGGGATGCTATGGTAGTGTTTATACATAATCCTTTGATACATATCTTAATGTGCAAAGGGGGAAGAAAATACCGAAAAAATCATTGCCAGCTAGAAGGATAAAAGTAATTGTTCTATTTTTCAAACTAAATTATTCTTTTTTGCTTTAATAAGAAAAAGATGCAGCTATACCTTGACATCCAGGGCCACCTGGCTCACCCTTTGGACCAGGTGGACCAAATTGACTGGCAGGGTCACCTTTGTTTCCTGTAAGTGATAAAATGCATGTAACATTATATAAGAAAATTTAATTTGGTCTCATACAAGTTACTTAATAACTTTCATAATATTTGTCTTTGTAGTCTGTCTTCAAACACTTCAGCAGAGTATTTTTAATTCTTTTTTTCCTAAACAAAGACAAATAGAAGTATAGATGCAAGAAGTGATTTGAACATAACATGCATATATATAACACACACAATTTTACAGTTCATAACAAACATAAGGAAATATAAGTCTTGATAAGTCTGAGTCTTTAAGTCCCTAAAAAATTTTCAAATTTAGGTTTCCATTTAAGAAATTACTTGGTACTGGGTTACTATATCCCTACGTTATGTTTTAGAAACAAAAAGCAGAAATTGTAACTGTTTCAGCTGCTGCAGTCACATTTCAAGCTCTCTTATAAGGACGCTCAACTCGGTGTCCTTATAAAAATAAAATAACAAAGGCATTCTTCATTGATCACTTGACAAGCAATGGCGCATTTGAGAGCTACTGTAAGCAGTGACTCCCATAGTCCCATAAAGCTGCTGGACACTGCTGCATAATGCTTGAGACACAAGGACCCACAGCATAGCTGGGAGCCAGTTTCAAGAGAAAGACTCAAAATGGAGTGGGAGGGGAGGACAAGACAGCTGCTGGGGTTACAAGAGAACAGGAAAGGTGCTTTAGGCCTGTCTTACGGCACCTGCCCACTAACACCTGCTTCTAAGGGGGTCCCACCTGCACCTTGTGGAGGCATCTCCCCCACCTGATCCTACTCACAATCATGGCTAATTGATTGAGGGGTGGGAATCTGGTCCATTCCAGGCCAGCCAGTCTCCCCTTGAGAAGTTGGAATAAAAAAGTGAGAATTTGAGGTCTTTGGCTATTGGGGCAGAAATCAAAGGGATTATCATGAGTTGCCATGATGTAGACTATGTCGGAGTGCAACCCAAACATTCAGAAATATCCAGAGAAGATATCGAACAGAGAGCGATGAAGCCAGTTGGTAGACAGGCAAATAAAACAAGACCATGGGGAAAAGCAAGAAACCATGGCTTGCCTAAGGCCTAGGTCCCTGTGGCCTTATGGTCTGGCAGAACTATCTCCTATCTGTGGGCTCCATGAGACATCTTTGACTCCAGGTACCCTGAGTGCATTTCAACTTCTTAAAAACATGGCCCAGTACAAGTATGAAGGAAATGAGAAGAGGTAGGTTTGATTTATACTGTTAAGGAAAGGTAAAGAGACTATAATAAATGTGTAAGTAAGCAGAAGAGGAGTGATTTCTGAACCCCGAAGCTATAAAATATCAAAATCAAATATAAAAACTTCTCTGTTTGTAACCATTTCTGAAGAAGAAATCTAGATTATTCTTTCTGAATAAATGAGCA